ACCTATCATAACTCGGTCAAAAATTAAGATATTGATTTGCGGTTTGCGCCAAAATTCTTAGTTTTGTATGCTTTTACTAATGATGTATCACAAGATAGGGGTTACCATTTGAAAAAAAAAATGTTTGGGGGGGGGACAAAAATTTTGACCCCCCTACAAGATGGTCGCCCTTTAAGATAGAAACATTCCAAAAGTTTTGTTTTTCTATCTTTAACCGTTCAAAAGTTACGAGGGGGGTACGGACTTTTGGTGAAGCGTTTGGCAATTTAGGTGAAGCGTCGCGGTACGCGGTGCCGAGTGAAAACGACGGAATGCAGCCAATTAATGTGCTACGCAAGTCATACGCGCGCTCTATCTCGGCACATTCTCATCCGATTCTTATTATTTTGGGCTTGTTTATAAGCTATGTTGAAAGTTAACTATTTTAACGGATATACATGCAGTTTTCCTCCGAATTTTCCCGGTATTTTTCAAAAGAACAGAAATTGTTCAAATTTACAACGACGAATAATTTTCAATCGGTTGAAGAAACAAACCTTTTCTCGTGTTTTGTAGAAAGATCATTCTCTGACGCTTAAAATGATATCATAATCATTTTTTGCGATAACAAAGAAATGCATGAACTCAATTTTAAGCGCACCTCCGTGGCAAGCGATTTCCGTTGGTAGGCGTTTTGACACGATTCATCGCCGCGCCGCGCCTTATGCAACCTAGATGGACGCGACCTTGCGTGATTTCCCGGATTCTTAGACAGATTTTTGATAAGTCGCGATGTTCAGAGGGTTATCTCACTTCCCATAACACTTAATTTGTTTATCAGGATGAATTTTCATCGGTATAGTCGGCACGAGGTCTGTCCGGAAAGTACCCGACCTTGTTGATTATCTTACCATCAACGGTCGATAAGAGGTTGGGGCTTGGGGCTTTCTTTGCAGGGACTCTCCTGAGTGCAGGTGTACAGCCGGACTATCACACGTTGGATCAGTCCTTGGTAAATTGCTGATTAGTGCGTGCTATTCTGCTGTGATCGTCGGATTTCGTTTTCCCTGAAAAAAGAAGAAGTTAAGGAGAGTGGGGTGGGAAGATTTTGTGAAGAGATCATCACAGGGGACGCGTCTTGGGCCTACGGGTTCGACCCTAAGACAAAAGTGCAATCGTCAGTTTGGATCGCACCTGGGAGACCTCGTCCGTAGAAAGCTCGGAAGAGTCGCAGCAATGTGAAGACAATGTTGGCTGTCTTCTTCGATCATTAAGGTGTCGTCCATCATCAGTACGCTCCCCAATGCTCTACTATCAATAAAGAGAGCTCCCGAGAAACTTTACATACTTCAAGGGACCTTGCGGAGCGTACTTATGATGGACGACACCTTCATGATCGAAGAAGACAGCCAACATTGTCATCACATTGCTGCGACTCTTCCGAGCTTTCTACGGGCGAGGTCTCCCAGGTGCGATCCAAACTGACGATTGCACTTTTGTCTCAGGGTCGTACCCGTAGACCCAAGACGCGTCCCCTGTGGTGACCTCCTCACAAAATCTTCCCACCCCACTCTCCTTAACTTCTTCTTTTTTAGGGAAAACGAAATCTGACGATCACAGCAGAATAGCACGCACTAATCAGCAAATTATCAACGACTGATCCAACATGTGATAATCCGGCTGTGCACCTGCACTCAGGAAAGTCCCTGCAAAGATAATCCCAAGTCCCAACCTCTTATCAACCGTTGATGGCGAGATAATCAACAAGGTTGGTTACTTTCCGGACAGACCTCGTATATACGCAGGGAAAAAGGGACAGAAATTCGTACAAATTAACATGAAAGCGTATTCTCTTTCGACCGAGGGGTATTTGTTGTTTGGAATAAGACGTGATATGAAATGGTTTTGAAGATAGACCAGCCGTTTTCGGTGGGGTTATTTTATGATATCTTTGACACAATATGGAGCCTTCAATAACGGAGGAAAGAATATTTGTACGCAATAGTTATTTATAACGCCAAGAATATTTGTACATCGTCAGTTCGAAAAAATTGCACCGATTCCAATGATTCATAAAGATAATATCAAGTAAAGAATGTTTTTCTGCTAATTTTTCTAACTGGCTTAATTTTTTCCATATTTTACTTTAAAGTTTTTTCCTATGACCATGACCGTAGTTGGAGCGGGGGGCAGTGGAGGGTTTGACTCTTCTAGAATCGAAATTAGTATCATCTCCCCCCCCCCTCAACAGTACTGTTCGGCGGATAAAAAAACATTCGTCAGAGATACATCTCTGCCCACATGCAGTGGCCCATGAATCCTCTGTTTTTGTCAAATTGAAGGAATATTAAGTAGAAACAAGTAAGAGGTTTATGAAATGGGCAAAGATTTCATGAATTGGGCAATTACACAATCTGTGCCTAACATACATCTTTCAATGTTTGTCATGTACACTGAAAAAATAATCTGAAGATCTGAATGAAACAAGTGTCTTAAGCAGCCGTTTGGTGGTGATCATGCAAGGAGCTCCCTCCCTAGCGCCCACGAATTCTTCCTGCGCACCCCCATGAAACTCATCTCGTACAGCGTGGCGCCGTGGCTAGGGTGTGTCTTATTTTTGGGTTTTTCAAAATCCGAAAAGTGCTACCTCTAAAAAATTTCCCCCTGGTGTAAAAATAAACATACTTTTTGAAAAATTCAAAAATTTTAAAAACCCACCTCCTACTCGACAAAAAGGGCCTAAGATCAGTTTGAATATACATATGCAATTAGAAGGTCCTAAATCTACAATAAAAGTATTAAGTTGACTTAAATTAGACTTACGGACAAACTTATAATTATACATTTACATTTTTATTCGCAAGGGGCCTCTACATTTTTTAATAATTTCATAAATAATCACCAAACGAAGCAAAAGATAAAAAATAAGAAAAAAGGAAAAAATACTAAAAGGAAACAGCACTTTAAAAATAAAATAAAATTCATAGTAATCATTCATTAGTAATTTTATCTGAAGAGAAAATTAAGAACTATGGTCCTTTGGATACACAATTTTGTCCGTTTTGCCGTATTTTAAAGGCATAAATAGCCTCTGCAAAATATTTGCTGCGCCGCGCGCGCAGTGATGCCGGCCGCTCGCAAGCAGCGCGCAAACGCATACTTACCTGACGCCACGACTACGACGCGACGTCAGTACGCGGGAACCCATAATCAACTTTTTGTTTTTTTAATAAGTAAAACGACCCATGAAGAAAGTGAGGCACATTCAAATCAATTATGTGCACCAGGTTGACGCAGGGTATGCCACGGAGGTAAAAAACATTTAGCCAAAATATGTGGGTTTATTCAGACGTGAAAGTATTACTTACAAACACCTAAAGAATTTACAGACTTTTGATTCTCTTTTCTAAGTTCACTTTCTTTTTAAAATTTTGAGAAGTTAAGGGTGGTTTCACGATAACTGGAATAGTTCTGTAGCTGAAACAGACAACACATTTTTCGGTCATATTTTTAGTAGTAATGATAATCACTCGAATTTTTTTGCATTGATCTACACAGGGTTACGTGTTCTGACGCTATTCAAAGATTTATCGCTCTCTTTTTCAATTTTAATGTATAAATCGTCGAAAATGTGCCGTCTGTTACGCTGACTTTTAATCGCGTAACAGACAGCACATTTTCGGTATTTACATAACATTCATTGAGAAGTAGAACAATAAGTCATTAGAATGCGTTATAATACGTACGTCTTTGAAGATTAATGCGAAAAAATTCGAGTGATTATCATTTCCATTAAAAATATGACCGAAAAATGCGTCGTCTGTTACGGCCCCAAAACTATTCCAGTTATCGTGAAACCACTCTTAATAGCAAATCTTGATACCTATTCATCCTCTTTTTTAGTTATCGATCGGCTTCATGTTAGCATGCGTCGAACTGCCCTTTAGGCGGAATCGTTGACCACACGCAAACTGTTTACAACTTCCCTCGCCTTCAAGCTGTCAGGGGTGGACTGGCCATGGGGGCGGGAAGGCGATCGCCTCCTAACAATCTGCCGCGGGGGCGGCGATTTTTTTTTTTTCGTTTTTTCCCCCGCAATGTTATGACTGATGATGGGGCCTCCGAAGTATCCTGAGAATGGGTTATTAGGGTTAATCATTCCTGAGAATAAGTTTGGCTAACCTCCGGAGTTTGAATAATGCACGCGTGAATTTCACATTCAACGAAGCGGGTACAATGCCTACATTCATAAATATCAGTAATTTAAGACAGGTGAAAAGCTAATATTCTCCTTCATTTTCGTGTGATACCACATCACATACCTACCTCGGAATTCGAATAGTTGTGCGATTGGTTCCCGCATTTAACGATAAGAGCGTAACACCTACATTCATAACCGTCGCAGTAATTTGAGACAGGTGGAAACCGAGATTTTCCTTCATTTTGCCATAATACTACATTTCCGCATTCAACGCTGCGAATATGATACCTCCATGCATGAATGTCAGTAACTTGAGACGAATGAAAATCTAAAATTTCCTTCAATTCCGCGTGATACCATATGACATACCTAGTTTGAAGTGGTTATTTGAGACGCGTGGAAATTCGGGATTATCCTTCAATGTCGCAAGATACCACATCGCATACCTACTCCAGATTTTGAATACGCGCAAGCTTGATTTCCGCATTCATTGACGCGATCAAATATTCTACATTCATATTTATTAGTAATTTAAGACGGCTGAATAGCTAGGACTTTCCTACATTTACGCGTGATACTACATCACATACTTAGTTCAAATTTGAACAGTCCACACTCACATTTATCAATAAGTTAAGACGGTTGAATAGCTAGGATTCTCCTATTTTGATTCTCCTATTTATTTATTTTGAAATTGATAAAAAATTTGCTCTGAGATTTTTTCGGGTATGAGATCTATCCGGGATATTAGGAAACTTTATTGCTCGCGTCTTGATATATTCCATGTTCTAATTATTTTCTTGATTTGCTCCTTTTACAGTTTGTGGTGATATTCACGGCCAATTTTACGATCTGATGAAATTATTTGAAGTAGGCGGGCCACCTGCTACCACCAAGTACCTTTTCCTAGGAGATTATGTAGATCGAGGATATTTTAGTATAGAGGTAAGGAATTTTTTATTTATTAATTGTATTAAAACTTACTTTCGGTGCCCTACAGCCAATAGTCGATTTGGAGCCAAATAAACTTATCTACTCCTACTACTACTTATTCTACTACTACTACTACTACTACTACTACTACTACTACTACTTCTACTACTAATACCACTACCACCACTAATGGATGGAACCACTAATGGAAATCTTTCCCTCATCACTTCGATTCATCATTTCTTGCCGCGGAACATTTCTGCCAAGTTTTCATTCGAAAATCATGCGAAGTTCCTAGCGATTTTAGAACTGATGACTCCTGACAATTGGATCCAAATGGGTTCCAGACTTTGATCGTCCCTTAGTAGTGATAGGCCCTTAGTTCGCGGGTCATCGGTACTTTTCGTCCAATGATGATTGATGAGCAACTTGTTGAGCATGAACTTCACCAGAGTATAGACCTAGGTACACACGGCGATTAATCGCTGCGATTGGGTTGGTTCGGGTCGCATCGCTCAATGCAAAACAATCAACAGAGGCCGTCAGTGCAATTACGTGTACACCCAGCGACACGTTGACTGCCACGGTGTTTTAGGTACTTATTTCCCCCGGCGCCATAGCCTTTTCTTTTCGTTATTTTTTTTAGAATTGACTATATCAAACCTAAACTTCATAGATCTTCGTAATATTCTTTCAGCTTTCAGCCTGAAGCCGCCGGTCGTTACGACCGGTATGGCCTCCGGTGAAAAATAATGCACCGGAGGCCACGCCGGTCGTCCGGCCGGTCGTGTGTTCCTTGAGAATCAGCAACGTTGCGTGACTCGCGCGCAGTCAACCCACAACCTTGAACGGCATGGAATTAATGGTAAGGACTGGTAAAACTGGGTAGGAGACAAACCCAGATACCCCCTAACACCGAGTTTCAGGCGAATCCATCGGCAAAAAGTCGAGGTTGCCAATTGTTGACCATTTTGAACTTTAATCGGCGGCCATTTTGAAAAATTAGGGTTTTTTTAAATATCTAACGTCAAATTCGTTTTTCTCGTGCCAAAATACCCCCAGATACCGAATTTCAGGTGAATCCATTGACAAAAAATCGCGTTTGTTAAATTTTCGGCCATTTTGAACTTTGACCGGCCGCCATTTTAAACTTTGACCGGCCGCCATTTTGAAACGGTTTGAGACAATGACTTCGGGTTTGCGCGAAAAAATTTCTTTTTTTATGTTCTTTCGAACGAGGTATCACAAAGGGGGTCTTCCCATTTGAAAAACAAAGTTAGGGTCCGTAACCCCCCCCCCTCCCCAAGGGGGGCCCCCCAAAATTTTTTTTTTTGGGGGGGTTCAAAAAGTAGCTCCCTTTGATCTAGGAACACCCTCCAAGTTTCAAATCTCTACCTCAATTAGGTCAAAAGTTAGGAGGGGGGGAGGGGACTTTTCGAACACCCTGTATTTTACCTTTTGACCCCTACCTCCCCCCCTTCCTAAAAAATTGTTCCTCCTTTTTTTAAAATTTATTTTTCAAGTTAAGCCAAAATTTAAAGGTCTAAAATTAATATTGAGGTAAAAAACTAACGATTGTAATTATATTCTAATTTATTAAAACAAAAAAAATAGCGAAAAAGAAAATTAAAGTTGAAAGAGAAAAAATCCCCCCCCCCTCCCAATTGTTATTCCCCTTTTTTAATTTATTTTTCAAAATGCGTACAAATTCTAAGGTTTGTAACTAATATTAAGGAAAGAAAACAACACTATTGTAATTTTATTGTATTAATAAATAAAGATGATAAAGAAAAAGATTCATGAAAATGAAAAAAATAAAAATCCCCCCCCCAAAAAAAAACAAAAAAAAACAAAAAAAAAAAATTCAGTGGTGCATTCTCTTGCTGGGGCCATGCCGGTCGTGAGCCATAAGCGTATACACGGCTCCGCCGGTCGCTGGCCTCACAGTAGCCTAGTAATGCGAGCGAGCGGGTCCCGGTCGAAACGACCGGCGTGGCCCCGGCAGAACCCTTCGAGGCCGGTCGATACGACCGGCGTGGCAGTCAACGTGTTAATCGCCGCGATCAGCGCTGATAGTTTATGTTTTTATATCCTTAAAATGGTCAGTATTTTATTTAGTTGATCATGTCAAAACGCTGATAACAGTAAGTCGATACTCGTAAGTACTGTGCATAAAAGACTAGTGGCTTTTTTTAAATAAATGAAGACGCCTAACAGAATAGTGTTTCCCATTTTTGAAGTTCTGGTGCCTCTTTAGAATAATATAGGTGGCTGAACTAAATCATAATGGATTTTCACGCCAAATGGTAAAAGTAAACTTGCATCTACTGTAAAACTTATCAACGGGCACCACGAAGAACAGAAACAAATACACATGTGGATCATGCACTGATGGATTTCGCATCCATCAAGAATAATCAGGACTCAGCAAAAGCATCTACTTGCTGAATCCTACTTCGGATTCAATCGCGGCGATTGGAGAAATCCCGAGAATTCCACTCGCCCGTCGCGGCGATTGACTGAATACACCTGCGTTTAAACGCCGCGATTGCAATCGCGACGATTAATCGCCGTGCGTATCTAGGCCTTATGACTATGAACTTTTGATGACTGAAGAGCACTTTTTTGGGCGAGTTTTAGAAAATCAGGTTACGTTTGCTGTTTCAGTCGGGAAAATAGGAGTACGGGGTTTTTGAATTATATTGTCTCGGCTTGGCAACAACCGGGCGTTCGGGGGAAGGGGGAGGGGGCTAAAAAATCGCACGAACATCCGAGCAACAGGTTACTCGCGGCTAATTATTCCCCGGATCGATTTTGTCAAGCGAAGCCCGCCCCATCTCTCCCTCTGCGAGCGCAGCCACCGCTCCTTTTGGCCGATCATCAACCCCTGATCACCTCCGACACTGCTCCAACCCATTCCATTCCATCCCGTGGAACCTCATATATTTTTCACCGTATTATTCATACGAGTGCCTATCTTTCTCGACATCGTCATTCCGGCATGGATCCCATCTCCCTCCCCTTCCCTCGAGCACACCATCGTCATTCCTTTTCATCTTACATGTTCTTCTCTTTTCTGTTATTTTCCGCCGTATTTTGTTTGCTCACTCCTAGCGAGAGCCTTATCCGTAGTACCTACACACCAATTTCGAACCCGAAATTTTACTCGACGAGGCCTTTATCGACTCATTTGAACCGCATTTCGTAGTAAGGAGTTATATTTTAGGCTCATTTTAGAAACATCGTATTACTCTGTATTGAGCTGCCGTACCGGCTCAATTTGCCGCCCCCCCCCCCCCCCCCCGAGGAAAATTGGCCCAAGCGATTTCCTTTAAACTTGGTACATGCATAGCAATTGTCGTGAGGAGTTGATCAAAATTATTCAGATCAGAAAACGATGCCCAGAACGCCCGTAAGAGCGAAAAGTTGTTTCTCCGTATTGGGGATACGCGATTATTTACACGCACCGCACTGAACAGGTTGAATCGTGTCGCGTAACGTCACAGCAGCGCAACGGTGGGTCCTGTGTCATCGTCCAATTGTGTGGCTCCCTCGCGAAATTTTCCATCCCTTTACTCCTTTCACGTACATAGTGTTAGCCTGCCTGTACCTAAGTATCTCCTTTTAACTGTAGGTTTTTTTATGCTTTCTGTTCAATCTCATGGGTCATTCGCCCTACTCTGCCGTGCTAAGAAAGAACGCCGTATGAACATTCGAGAGTTGCCAAGTTCTCCTTGATAAAACATGTATTTTTGACAACATCCATGCATAATTTTACCAAATATTTTTAGATATTCTAGATTAATATACTTACACAAATATTTGAAAATTTTGGAAAATAACATTCACAATTTTCCCAGTAAATCCGGTTTTTATCGGAGGAAACTTGGCAACGCCTGAAGGTTCATACGACGTTTTTCCTTAGTACGGCAGTACTGGTCGTATGTCTCTTTGACCTCCTCTCTTTTTTTCTTTCTCCTTTAATTTTGATCCGATTTTCGTACAACTCGGTACCGAATGGGAACAAATTTTTTGATAGGAAACTCGAATTTTTGGTCAGATTTTAAAAATTAAAAAATCCAAGATGCGGGACGTGGTCTAAAATGCTATCTCGGCTCCTGTTCCATCGAGTTTTGTAAAACTCCGTACCGTGGGGTATTTTTCAACAGGAAACTCAAATTTTTGGACACACTTTCAAAATTCCAAAATTCAAGATGGCGGACGTGGCTTAAAACGCAGTCACGGCTCCTGGACCATCGATTTCTGTGAAACTTGGTGAAAAATAAGAAGAAAACGAAGATGTTGTCTTCTCATTCAATGTAAATACTAGTTACTCTATATAAAGCTGACTCGCCGGCTCACCCCCCCCCCTCACCCGAGAAAAATTGGCCGAAGCCATTTCCTTCAAAATTAGTATACGCTTAGCTATTGCCACGATGAGTTGATCAAAATTATTCCCATTTCAATATGCTGCCCAGGACGCCCGCAAGAGCGAAAAGTTGTTTCTCCCTATCGTATTGCATTGGAGATACGCGGTTGTTTACGCGCACTGCGCCGAACAGGTTCAATCCTGTCGCGTGACGTCACAGCCTTATACACGAAATTTGAGGTTTTAGGAGGTATTTTTCGACGGATTTTCAAAATTTCAAAATCCAAGATTGCGACCGTGGCCTTAAATGCTAAGTCAGCTCCTGGTTGATCGACTTTCATGAAATTTGGTAACCGGAGGTACTTTTTGACGAGAAACTCGAATTTTTGGTCAGATTTTCAAAATTTCGAAATCCAAGATGGCGGCCTTGGCCTAAAAAGCTATCTTGGCTCATGATCCATCGATTTTAGTGAAATTCGGTATTAGAGGTTACATTTCGACGGGAAACTCGATTGTTTGATCAGATTTTCAAAATTCAAAAATCCAAGATGGCGGTCGTGGTCTAAAATGCTATATCGCTTCCACATATCCATCGATTTTTGTGAAATTCGGTGTTAGGAGGTGTATTTCGACGGGAAACTCG